GGCCGTATGCAAAACGTATGCCTTTTCTCAAAGTTTTGGGTTACATATTAATTTAACAACTATTTTTAAAGGTTTTAAAAAAAGATTTTATTTATTTTTCTAGAGAGGGGAAGGGAGAGAGAGTGGGAAACATCAATGTGTGGTTGCCTCTCACTCTTCCCCTTCTGGGGACCTGGCCACATCCCAGGTATGTAACCTGACTGGGAATCAAACCAGCTAGGGGATTCTCGAGCTATCACTCAAAGGACTCAGTCATGCCACCCGGGGCTAATTTAACAAGTATTTATTGAGCACTTGCCACTTGGCTTATACTATGAAGGGAGGCCTAGGAGTTATGAAAAGTATAGGATGTGGCCACTGTCTAGTTGGGGAGACAAGATACAAGATCCAGAAGGTATCCAGCCATGTAATGAAAAATAGAGACATTTGCCCTGGCTGATGTTTAACTCAGGTAACTGTCTTTACTTAGGTGAAAATGACTCAGGGCTCCCTTAGTCATTAAGAATAAAGTTTATCACCAGCCATCAGAGGGATGCAAATTAAAACCACAGTGAGGCTGGGATGGGGGTAAAAGGCAGAAAACTGTACTTGAACAATTAAAATAAAATAAAAAATTTAGCCCTGACTGGTGTAGCTCAGTGGATTGAGCACGGGCCTGTGAAGCAGAAGTCTCTGGTTCGGTTCCCAGTCAGGGCACATGCCTGGGTTGCAGGCCAGGTCCCTGGTAGGGGATACATGATAGGCAACCACAAATTGATATTTCTCTCTCACTCTTTCTCCTTCCTGTCCCCTCTCTCTAAAATTAAATAAATAAAATATTTAAAAAAATAAAAAATTTAAAAAATCACACACACAAAAACCCACAATGAGATATCAGCTCACACCTGCCAAAATGGCTGTCGTTAGTAAATCAACAAACAACAAGTGCTGGTGAGGATGTGGGGAAAAGGGAACCCTAGTACACTGTTGGTGGGAATGCAGACTGGTGTAGCCATTGGTACAGTATGGAATTTCCTCAAAAAATTAAAAATGGAACTGCCTTTTGACCCAGTGATTCCACCACTGGGATTATACCCTAAGAATCCCGAAACACCAATTCAAAAGGATATATGCACCCCTTTGTTCACTGCAGCACTATTTACAATAGCCAAGATTTGGAAACAGCCTAAGTGCCCAACAGTAAATGAGTGGATCAAACAACTGGTACATTTACACAATGAAATACTGTGCAGCAGTAAAAAAAAGAAGGAATTCTTACCTTTTGCAACAGCATGGGTGGAACTGGAGAGCATTGTGCTAAGTGAAATAAGCCAGTTGGTGAAAGACAAATACCATATGATCTCAAATATAAGAATCTAATGAACAAAATAAACGAATGAGCAAAATAGAACCAGAGACATCAAAACATGGAACAGATTGACAGCTGTAAGAGGGGAGAAGGGAAGTGGTTGAAAGACGGTGAAGGGGTTAGTCAAAGAATGTATATGAATGACCCATGGACATGGACAATGGTGTGGGGGTTGCCTGAGGGAGTGGGAGATGGGCTGGGTGGAGGGAGGCAAAGGGGGAAAGTCGGGATAACTACAATAGCGTAAATAATAAATTATTTAAAAATTTAAAAGAGAATAATGTTCAGAGCCCTAACCAATGTGGCTCAGTTGGTTGGGTGTGATTCTGGAAAGCAAAGGGTCATGAGTTTGATTCCCAGTCAGGGCACATGCCTGGGTTGTGGGTTCAGTCCCCAGATGGGGCAGGTACGAGTAAGAGAGGCAACCAATTGATGTTTCTCTCTCACATTGATGTTTCTTTCTCTTTCTCCCTTCTTTCCCCTCTCTCTGAAATAAATAAATAAAACATTTTTAAAAAAAGAATAAGGTTCAGAAGTGCAGGCAATAGGCAGCTTTTTACCTAGGGCTGCTTTGGGGGATAAATATTGAAAATGTCAATTCCACAATAAGGTAAAAATTATTTATATTTATTTAATATTTCAAAAGCCTTACAGGTATTGCTATTGCTATTTTTGAAAGCTAATAATAAACATGGATTGATTAAAAGTTAATCATATCTGTTGGTGAAAGAAGCATTGGAAAATACTTTTTTTATTATAAATAAAAACCTGTTTATTTCAACACCAATTTTTGGGTCATACAATTATGACTTAACAATTTTGACTCATACAATTATGACCCCACAATTAGGGTCATAGGTAGGAACAACATGAATGGGCCCAGTTACATTATGCTCAGTTACATTAACATTTCCACTCTTGCTTTGTTTATATTTGGATTTACCTGGAAAATACTATTAAATTGTGATGATAAGGTACCTATGAAAACAACCAGGTATATTTGGAAGGCAATCATTTAATGATACACAGTTAACAAAGAAAAGGCATTGTGTAGCATTTTTGATTTGTGCAATGAGGTAGTTTTCTTGTCCTTTTAATTTAAAATTATATTTCACTGTGTTTTTTTTTTTTTGCAAAAGCAACTACACACATCAAATTAACTCCAGAAATGTAAGTGGAAGTTACCCCCAAAATCTCACCCCACAGAGGTAACAAACACTTTTTATTAGGGCACAAAGCACATTTTGAGACACCACATTTCCAGAAATTAATGTTTCTACCTTACAAATATGAACTCTCAGACTCAATGACAAGTTTTTACTGGAAGTGTACATCTAAATAGTCTTATTATGTGGATACTATTTTATATCCCTCTGAGATTTAGCATTAATTCTGGCTGTGATTTGACAAAGCTTCTTTCCACTCTTACCTATTGGATATACCCAATTAGTAGTTACCTCCCTCTCTTTTAGAAAATCCTCATCCAAGAATATGTTTGTTGATTTTAGAGACAGAGGAAGGGAGAGAGAAAAACGATGTGAGAGAGAAACATCAACTGATTGCCTCCCCCTTATGTGCCCTGACCAGAGATGGAACCCACAGCATTTTGGTGTACATCATGACGCTCCAACCAACTGACCCACTGAGCCAGGGCATGTCTCCCCCTTTTAATAGCTACTCTTCTGTAGATAATGATCACCACATTCAGCTTCAAATACATAGAGGAATGAGGCTGAAAACGATTACCTAGACATAAGCCAATCCAAAAGAAAAAAAAAAACACCCCAAGGTGAGTGCTATTCACACCATACAATGGGAATTGATATTCATAATGATGGCCTTGGTTTAACCAACTAAGATTAAATCCTTCTCAAGATGGTTTTAATATTGAATAGCATAATCTAGGGTTTTAGAAATGGGTGACCCACATATATGCTAAAAGAGTTAGCTATAAATATATCTGCTAACTCAACTAAAAAGCTTATGAACTAGAAGACTCCATTTTCCAAGCCACTTTGTGTAACTTGGACTTGACTGAGCAGCTGCATTCCAACTTGCTTTCAGATCTATTACCGATGCACTGAATTGTTTTTTCTCACAGCAAGATGGATTTAGTCATGTTTGTCTCTTCTGCAGCTCAGTCTCACACACAAATAGGAAGGCAGCTCCAGTGTGCTGCTGGAATCCCTGACCTTGATGACATTAGCAAATAACTCTTATGTAGGTGCTATTGGTACATGTCAATGTTACTCCTCAGAAATATGTGGGAGGATGGGTAAAGTCTTAAAAGGGGTGCACTTTATTGTATGTAAATTGTACCTCAGTAAAGTTATTTGAAACAAATTCTGAACCTGCAAATCACTTTCAAGAGAGGGAATACTGGTCTTGACCATGATGTGTGATGCTTAGTAAGATTTGGGAAGCTGCCCCCTAAAACCGTGAGAAAGTGCTGTTCATTTATCATTTTCCAAGCATAATCTAGGCTTCGGGCAAATTAGACCCAACCACTTTTTGTCTACATTCAATTGCAGAGGGGTGAACCCTCCTAGGGGTTTCCAATTCTTTTGGAAACTCTACCATTCTGGAAGGGTTTAAGATTATACGGAGAACTCGTGAATGCAAGACATTGTGAGGTTTATGCCTTACGCAAGATCCCTCCACCTGGTCCTGGAATGGTTAGCCCCAGAAACAAAGTCCCCTTTTGCTGGAGCTGCCACCACTAGCTTCCCCCCTTCCCCTACGCCCTGTATGGCCCTCTCCCACGGCAGGCCTTCCCCATTGGCCAGTTAAACACAACCGACTGCAGCAGCCAATGAGAGCCACTCTCCTGAACATTCAGAGGATGGGTGCTCATGGTGTGATGAGGGGAGGTTGGCGCCTGGCACGCGCCCCCCTACATGTGGCAAGTCTGTAATAGAAACAGTAACCCCCCTCCCCACGCACACCAGTGCCCCCTGACGCCCTCCTCTCAGCTACGTGGCCCTCACGACCCAGGGCGTATCTTGGCAACGCCCTCCCTGGCTCCTCTTCCTTGGGGCTCGCGAGTGGGGCTCTCGAGTGGATTTCGCGAGTGCACCTGCTTCCTTAATCAGACAGAGCATCCCTCTATCCCAAGGCTTAGGAGGGGTCCTCGGAGGCGCGGCTCAGCTGCTCGCCTCTCCGGACGTGTAAGAGGTGTCTCCACCCCGCAGTCCACTCTCACCGAATAATAATGTACCTAGGCCAAAGTGCTCCAAAAATGCTTTAGGGTACAGCTCTTTGTCCTCCTCAGCTGTGTTCCGGGCCGCTGATTTTCCAGCACTCCTAGAAAGTGGGGGTGGGGAGCCTGAGACCTATAAAATAAATGGGGACAAGGAGAAAGGAAGACCATCCCGGGGTGGTGTGTGCCGCTCTCTCCACCCACCCCTTTCCTCAGTAGGCTTCCTCCCTGAGGCGTGTCCCTGGACTGCGGGGTGGAAACACCTCTTTCACCTCCGGAGGTCTAGGCCTAGGCGCAACCGTGGCTCAGGGAGCGCCATGGTGTAGCCCTCTTGATTTAGCGTCCTGTCTAAGGGCACAGGCAGAAGGAGAAGACTCGCGGCTAGCCTTCTCTTTTTCCATCTCTCCTTCTCTGCCTGGCTTTTGTGTCGGTGCCTCAGAACCGCGAGGAGGGTGCGCTGAAGGAGGAGGAGGGGGACCTGGGGTGTGAGGCACCCCCTGCACGAGCGCGCGCGCTCACAGTGTCGGTGCACGCACACACGCGCGGACACACTTGCGGACACGCGCGCACACACACATGCACAAAGCTCGCTTGCTTCGAGCGCACTAACGTGGTCGTTTTCTTTGTGTGGAACCCTCGAGGGGGGTTGGGGCCCCGGTCTCGTCCCGTCCTGTCCCGGGGAGATGGCGCAGCCCATTCTGGGCCATGGGAGCCTGCAACCCGCCTCGGCCGCGGGCCTGGCGTCCCTGGAGCTCGACTCGTCGCTGGACCAGTACGTGCAAATTCGCATCTTCAAGATCATCGTGATTGGGGACTCCAACGTAGGCAAGACCTGCTTGACCTTCCGCTTCTGCGGCGGGACCTTCCCGGACAAAACTGAGGCCACCATCGGCGTGGACTTCAGGGAGAAGACCGTAGAAATCGAGGGCGAGAAGATCAAGGTGATCCAGATGGTCAGGTCCAGGAAGGGTGGGCTCTGGGAGGGGTCCTCGCTTGAGGTATCCGCTCTAGTGCTTGTCAAGTGTCAGGTGAGTGACTGTGTGGATGCTTGCTGGGCCCATGATCGTTGGCACCTCCTCATCCCCCTTTGCCTCTCTGAGCTGCCTGGTTCCGACCTCACCCGTTTTTAGGGCAGGCTGGAGTGGGTGCATTCATGCCCTCTGCTTCTGCCTGGCAGCTCCTGCCAGGAAAAGCTGTGTGATTCCATCCTTAACCCTGAGCCATGAGCGGAGGGAGGTAGGAGGGAACCCTGTCCTGATCTGTGGGATGGATCCCAAAGCACTATACATTTCTTGAGGTCTTTTCTACCTCTTGGGTGCCAATAGGCTGCAAAAAGCCAGTCTGATTAAGCCCCAAGGCATTAGAGGGGAGTAAAGAATGGAAATCCATAGAAAAATACAGTTTATGGTTAACGTTAGGGCTGAAATGTAATAAGAGTGGAGTGGGGTTGTTCTAGCACAAAGTCATGAACCCTTTTAAAGAAATTGAGACAGGGTCACCTACCTGCCCTTCATAATAGACAAAACATATTATTTTGGAACAGTACTCCTCAAATGATATCTTCTGCATTTGTTATTATTTGTCATTACTCATTCTCTAGGTATTGTCTTCACCAGGCCTTTGTAAAAAGGCAGAGCAACTTATCTGAGGGCCGAGGGATGTGTCTTAGTCCTCCCTTCGCATTACTTCATGAAATAGGCCAAGTACAGACATTCTTGTCTGGCCATTTGTACTCACTGTTGGTTCATAAGATGGGGAAACTGGATAGGACAGGAATATTTCAATGTGCAGAGGATAGCAGGAGGGAGGACGTGACAAGGGCAGCTTCGTGTACCAGGGGAGCAGAGGGGGGTATGGTTATGGGTAGGAAAGTTATATCAAAAGACACTGGGCGCTAAAGACCAACTCCAGTAGACCCACAGCTGGCCTCTTCTTGAGCCTGTGGTCAGACCCAGTCAGGTGAAGGTAAACCTCCCTCCTGCTGGTCAAAAGAGCCCACATGACCACAAGGCCTATCTTCACAGTGATATGGAGAGGAGGGCTGAGTAACTGGGGAAAATGATGAAACACTGTAAACTCTGCAAGACTCTGGACTCCTTAGTTATTAAAATGAATGTGTTTTAAAATGGCTTCAGAAACCGAGCCAAGGTGCTGGATGTTTTAGGAAGACGGGCAGCTCAGTACTGGTAAGGAGGAGGTCTTGAGAACCACTGAGCCCCAGGGTCAGGAAAATAGGGCACTGTTTTGAGACAGTGATCTTTTTCACCTCTTGTGTTTTGGGGGGAATGGCTACATTTCCTTTTTAAAGTCAGAGTAGGTATCTGTCTTTCTCCTTTCCCAGGGCTTTATGTTGATCGTTGCTTGGTCAGGACTTTCTTTTTTTTTTTAAATATGTTTTATTGATTATGTTATTATAGTTCCTCCCCTTCATTCCCCTCCACCCTGCACATGCCCTCCCACCCACATTTCCCCCCTTTAGTTCATGTCCATGGGTCATACATATAAGTTCTTTGGCTTCTGCACTTCCCATACTATTCTTGCCCTCCCCCTGTCTATTTTCTACTTACCATCTATGCTACTTATTCTCTGTACTTTTCCCCCCTTCTCTCTTCCTCCCACTCCCCTGTTGCTAACCCTCCATGTGATCTTCATTTCTATGGTTCTGTTCCTGTTCTAGTTGTTTCCTTAGTTTGCTTTTGTTTTAGGTGTGGTTGTTAATAACTGTGAGTTTGCTGTCCTTTTACTGTACATGTTTGTTATCTTCTTTTTCTTAGATAAGTCCCTTTAACATTTCATATAATAAGGGCTTGGTGATGATGAACTCCTTTAACAGGACTTTCATAATTCTTTAATGTAATGTAATGTCTAGCTTCTTTAATGTAATATTGTAAGTTTCTGGAATTTCCAAAGTATGCCTTAACAATACAAAGTAGAAATGTACTTTCAGATGTGCCCTTAAACTCTCAAGACCCTTAAAATGTAATGCTATCACGCGTTTAATATCAAATGTCACATTGAGCCAAACAGCACTCTGGATTTAAGACAGGGCAAGTAAGTCCACCTGCAATTTACATGGATGAAAAAAGAAGTGTTTGGGAATCTGGAGAAGAAGGGAGGAGAAAGCTACAAAGTGGAAAATGGGAGGTGAAAATGAGTGGAAGAGGGTCACAACCAATGCTCTTGGGGAAAATTTTAAAAGATTTTCTTTTCTTGCAACAGCCCAATACTTAGCCAAACTGGATTTTACAGTCCCTGCTAAAGATTCTGGACTTTTCCCAGGGGACAGAGCCTGTGACAGTGTGACTCACTAGAAGGAGAGCTGAGCAGAACACCACGTGCGGAGAAGTGCTCAATGCAGACTTTTTTAGGGGAAGATGCTATTTCAAGAGAGCAAAGCCTTGTGATACATATGACATGAAGGAGATTTCTGAGGGCAGATTCTGAAGGATCTCAGGGTGGGGTGTGGGAGTGGGGACATGGTGGCCCTGCCTCTTGTAAAGTTGTTGCAACCTCAGGGTTAAACCCAGCAGGCGAAGACCAGCATGTCTGGGGGAAGGCGGCACAGCGTGGCAGTGAGCATATTATCTCAATAGGAGATTTGGCCCCACACTCCGGTTGGCCTGGAGTTTCTCAAGGAACAAGTATCAAAACCACGCTAGGAGGTGACTTCCAAAGGCTTCTCTCTTTGGGGAAAAGAGAAAAGTCCAGTGTGCTAGGCTGAGGTGGTCCTAGACCACAGTCAGCAATAGAAGGCTGTCAGACTATAAAATGCCAGCTCTCCCGGGAGAGTGGGAAAGAGAGCTCAGTGAGCTCTTCTCACCGTCCATGAGTAGGGTGTGGCCTCTACTGGGTTGCTCCTGATTCAGCATATTTGGGACTACTCTCTTAATTACCAGGGGTATCCGTATGGCCTTGAAAACCAAGTTGGTGTCTGCAGTTAGTGTGTCTTCAGCCCCTCTCCATCGTAGCATTTATAATCCAGTGTTTCCTAGTTAACGTGAACATCAAGAAAAGCCTCCAACGAGTAGGTAATAGTAATAACAACAACAACCCCTGCTTTTTGAATAAAGTGCCCAGACTGGACACTTGACATGCACTATCTTTTTTTATCTTAACAGTAGCCCTATGAAATTAGGACTATAATTGTCATTCCAGTATACAGATAAGGAAAGCATACTTAGAGAGATTAAATAACTTGCCCAAAGGCATTTGGCTCAAGCTTCAGTCTTTGACCTTTGTGCCCAACTAAGCATTTTACTATCTCATTATCCTGCCTCCCTGTGACAGGCCAAGTATTTTAACCTAGATTCAGAGAGCCTAATCTCTCTACCACTGTGCTCTACTCTAGGGGGAAATATCTGGCCTTGGGGGAATGTGCACAGTGGGAGGTGGCATACCCGGCGGCCAGCCTGGTGGTCTCTTCTAGGCCAGGGGTCGTGTCCTAGCCCCAGGGCCCAGAATCCTTCAAGTTGTCTCCTTCAATTGCACCCCAGGCACTGGGCTGAGTATCTCATCTAAGTTTTACTTTTTAAAAAAAATTACTTTTATTTAGTTATTTTTCAAGTACAGTTTTTTGTCTGTTTCTCCCATCCCAGCCTCCCCCGCCCTAAGTTTTACTTTTTGCACCTTTACTGTCTCACCTTAGGTGCGAGAATCAGAGAATGGTCAGAGATGGAAGAGACCTAGAGACTCTACTCCAACACCCTCATTTTAGAGATAAGAAACCGAGACTCAGAAAGGGAAAGTGACATGCCCAAGTTCACACAGGGCCAGACCTACAACTCAGGTCTTCTAATTTCCCTTTTGGTGCTCCTTTCACATAAATCCCTGATCTGGGCTTGTCCTCCCTTGAACCGTGCAACCCATGCAGTAACCTGTGATAGGGATGAAGAGACACATCATACAGGAAAGTTGATGTACCTTCCTGACGTCAACCTTGGCGGAGGCATCTCTGCCCCCAAAGGAAGGGTGGAGCTTCCCATAATGACCATGATGGGTGTGTCTCCTATTGGTCTAGCTAAAACATATTGAGCCTGTATCAGACTAAAAGCACTGGAAAAGGCCAAATAGGAATGTGTGAAGGGTGGGGTGGAGGAGGTATCACAGGTGGAGGCCCAGAACTACTTTTGGAGGCATTCTTAGTAAATTCTCATGGAAGCAGCCTCTCTTGCCTAGTTTGGTTCCTTACACGGGCTGGGCATCCGTTCAGCCCAGCCCTCTGGATCAGGCAAACTGCAGGTCAGCCAATGCTGTGGGCAGGTGCCAACGAGGACTGTGGATATCTCTTCCTCTGCTGACCACTAGGAAAAACACCTTCTTGTGTTACATTATCAAGTGGACGAAGGCAGAGCTAAATGTTCCCTCAGAAGCTGCCTGCAGTCAGAATGACATCATGTCTTCCTTAGGGCTTCCATCTTCTGCCAGTTACCTTAATGGTTAATTACCCATCAGTGTGTTTCTCTGTCTGCCTTGCTTCCTCGATTTCTGTGCATGAGTTTCTTTTTGTCTCTGTCTAGCTAGTTAACAAAAATTATTTTCAGCTTTTCCTGTCACCCACTCTGGAACTCTCCAGAAGTTACAGATGTATTTTTCTCCCCTTTTCCACTTCTACTCTCCTCCACTGGCCCCCAACAAAGGACATTCAAGCTTCATGTATAGAGAGGTGCCAGATATGTTGTCCCCTAGGGAAAAGAAATTTCCATGTCAGCTATGAGCATGTGCAGGGGTGGGAGACTTGCTGAAACTTGCTCAGGCAGTGGCAGTCCCAGGAAAATTGTTTAATAAGGCTACATTTATCTCTGGTAGCTCCCCATGCTGTGCCCTTGACCTTCCTCCAACATCCCTGTCACTTTGGGCCTGCCCCCAGCCACCCATGGCAGGTTGCTGGCATTCCTCTCTCCTCCCACTCCCCACTGACTGCTTGTCCTTGGCTCTATCTCATTTTCAAGAAGCCAAGCTTTCTGTGCTTTCCAAGATGAGAACCAAGAGGTCCAAGGAACAGTACAACCAGGGCAGGGCTGATGGGCCTTCCGAGACAATGGCAACAATGAACATTTGCAGAGCACTTTATATTTTGCCAAAGCTCTTTTTCAATGTGTTATTTCATTTGCCTAATCATTTACTTGGATACTAAGCAAAGGAGCTAGAACCCAGGTCTCCCAATTCCAAAGCTACTGCTGTATTTCAGCAGTATCCACTCAATTACTTGTCGGGCCAGACATGATGCCGGATGTTTGGGGCTGGGAAGAAGGGAGGGTGTTTATTAGGCACTGTGCCATGTACTTACAAGGAATGCTAATCCTCACAGTATTGCTACAAGATTGCTGTGGTTATCCTCAGCGTCCACGGGAGGACATTGAAGATAGAGTTATCTGCCCAAGGACACCTAACTGGTAGTACGGTATTGGGCTGAGATTTGCACCCAAGTTGGTTTAATTCCATTATGCCCCACTCGCCCTTGGAGAGAAAAGATAACTGACCCTTAGCCATATGCATCTTCTGAAGAGCATGCATGTGGCTAAGGGACAGTTGTAACCCCCAGGCCACCATGTGGATGCAGTGCCCATAGGAAATGAAGGGTGAATAGAGGAGTGCCAGCTGCAAAAGGGGAAGGAGGTGATTTCACTCTCTATCAGGGGCCAAGGTCTTATGAGGATGCTGAGAATATGGACATCAAACTGCCAAACAAAAATGAGGTCCTTTGTGTGTCCCATGAACCTGACTGCTGTGCTCTTCCTTTGTGACGGCTCTTCTGGTTTTGTCCTGTGAGCAGCCTGCTTCTCAGCTCACTTCTCACCACAAACAGGGGCGTGAAGAATTTAGGGTGGGGTAGAATTCTAGCTCTTTATAAAGAACTAGCATGGGAGCGGTGCCCCCAGTTTCAATTTTGGGCCTGCAAATAAAAGCTTCAAGGCTCTCCATGGCACTGGAAAGGCAAAGGTAGTCTCCAGCAGAGATGGCCCTCCCTGCAATTCTGGCAGCTCGGGTGGTGTACAGTTTTGAAGCCAAAGAAAAGCCAAACAGCCTACCTACTCAGCTCCAAACATCTCGCCACATTCCCACCCGTGTTCTTGCTACTGGTAGGTATTTTTAGAGTCCTGAGTTCATGGTGTTAAAGCATCTGCCACATGTCTGAGAGCTGGTAGGGGTTTAGGCTTGCTCAGAAGCTAGAGTTTGGATGATGGGTGGGGGTGGAGGGGAGATCACGATATTCTCATGCTATACCTGTTCTCTTCCCTTTGACCTCCATTTGTTTCCTGGTCTGCTCTCCTTTTATTCCTGTTCAGGGCACCAGAGCTGTAGAAGAAATGAAAGTCTTTTCTGGCTCTGCTTGCTGAAGCAAATCAGTCTTTGAGGACTTATGTTTTTCTACGTACCAAAGTTGAATGTTCTCTCTGAAATCACCTTGGCAGATACCTTAGGATGCCAGACTGCTTGTAGTTTTGGTGGCTCAGGACAATGCTGCTTTTTGATAATGATGACAGTGACTACGACAACCATAATGATGAGTGATCTGATGCAGAAAAGATGGCTTATAGTTTAGGTGGAGAGGTGCCCAGAGCACTGATAAAACAACTAGAGAACAAACAAATATGTTATTTTTTAAAAAAGATTATATTTATTTACTTTTAGAGAGAGGAGAAGGGATGGAGAAAGAGAAGGGGAGAAACAGCAATGTGCAAGGTATACATTAATCACTTGCCTCTCACACACCCCCAATTGGGGACCTGGCCCACAACCTAGGCATGTGCCCTGACTGGGAATTGATCTCTGTTGACAGGTCAGTGCTCAATCCACTGAGCCATACTAGCCAGGGCCAAATAAATACATGCATTCTAAATGGTGTGGTATGGACTCAAAGTACAATAGAAATACCTAAGAAAATAGAATTAAAAAGAAGTTGGAGAAGATTTTAGGAAGAAGGTGGAGGCATGAGCTGAGCCTTGAAAAGTAGGTGATATTTGGGTAGGGTAATGAGGGAGCAACCATTTCTGTAGGGGAAGGGTGAATAGCAGGACCATGAGTACAGTGGACAGAATGAAGGAGGTGTGTTGCTGAGAAGTTTGAAATCAGGTTGGGTGAGGTCAAATTATGGCAGACAAAAATTTCCATTTGATGCCACATGCAGAAGAGGGCTAACATAATTTCCTGATGAGGATGATGACATGCTGATAAAAGCAGGGACTTAGGAAGGCAAGTTTGAAAGTAGTATCCAGGAAGCACTAGAGTGGAGATATGGAGAATCCAAAAGACTTCAATGTATTCCAGAAGCGAGGAGAAGGGGGTCTGGCCTAGGGACATGAAAATCGAAATACAAGAATGGGTGAATCTGAAGGTTGTGCCAGAGGCACGTTGTGGCCATGTCCATAGTGGGAATGAAGGGGAGCCTGGACAATGAAAATTGATGTTCCAAATGATGGCTCTGGGGCCCTGTTAAGATCTTCAGTCAGCAAGGAGATTCAATTATATTTACTAGATTATATTGATGACTGATACTCCAAATAAAGGTTATATTTTGTTTTAAGAGCCATAGTAGTCAATTAGTGGCCATAATCTAATTTTCTTTGATAACTGAGAATTGTATAGAGCCTTGGGACCATCATTCTGAGTATGAATTTCTCTTGTCCAAGACTTTGGATCTGTAAAGGGAAATAGATTGGGCTGAATGTGTTGACTCCAGAGTGTCCCTTGGGAGTTGTGTTTTTGTATGTTATTTATATCAGCATTTTTCCATCAATAATTTGGCCTTTATCCTATAAGCTGCAATTCAGAAGAAAAATCCAGTGAGGTAAATTACCTTTTACATAACAAAGAAGTGAACTTAAAATAAATTGAGCTATGCCCTGGTCAGCTAGCTAAATTGGTTAGTGTCATCCGAATATGACAGGGTTGTGGGTTTGATCCCTGATCAAGGCACAACCAATGAATGCATGGAGCAATGATGCCAATGTTTCTCTCTCTCCCTTCCTCCCCCCAACTCTCTCTCTCTCAAATCAATAAATAAAAAATTAAAATAATAAATTGAGCTAAAAGTTGAGATTTAAACACTAACTTTGTTTCCTTTAAAAAGTCATCCAGCCCTGGCTGGCGTAGCTCAGTGGATTGAGCGCGGGCCTGCGAACCAGAGTATCGCGGTTCGATTCCCAGTCAGGGCACATGCCTGGGTTGCAGGCCAGTTCCCGGCAGGGGATGCATGAGAGGCAACCACACATTGATGTTTCTCTCCCACTCTTTCTCCTTCCCTTCCCCTCTCTCCAAAAATAAATAAAGAAAATATTAAAAAAAAATAAAATAAAAAGTCATCCAAGTCCTGGCTGGCGTAGCTCAGTGGATAGAGCGCGGGCTGCAAAACAAAGGGTCACAGGTTTGATTCTCAGTCAGGGTACATACCTGGGTTGCAGGCCAGTTCCAAGCAGGAGACACACGAGAGGCAACCACACATTGATATGTCTCTCTCTCTCTCTTTTTCCCTCCCTTCACCTCTCTAAAAATAAATAAATAAAAATCTTTTTAAAAACCTGATGAGCAAAAAGAAAGATTAAAAAAAAAGTCATCCAACCCCTGCCCTCAAATGAAGTGATGGATGCTTACAGTAGAAAATTTGGAAAATACAAAAAAGAACTAAATAAGTATTAGCTGTAGTCCCACTTCCCTCAAATAATCATTAATGTTCTGGTGTATACACTTCCAAGTTTTCCTATGCATATGACTATGTTTAGCATATTTAAAAAAATTGGAACCATAACATATAAAAATTTCATATCCTGGTTTCATTTATATTTTGTGCATATTTCCTTCACCATTTATTCTTTTTTAATGGCTGCATAATAGCCTACTATATAGATCTATGCATATGCTTTAGCAATTCCTCTTCTACTGAGTATTTAGGTTGTTTTGTTTTTTAAAAAGCATAAATAACATGGTGATTAAGATCTTTGTACAAAATTTTCATCACATCTCTGCTATTTCTTCTGTATAGAATTTTGGAAGTGAAATTATAGGCTCAAAGAATTTTGAACATTTTTAAGGTTCTTGATTGCCAAATTACCCTTTTAAAAGTTGACCAACATATGTCCCACTTTTTCAACTAAAAACCTTAAGATTTAGGAACAAGTATAAAGGACACATGGACAAAAACTAAAGGGGGTGGAAATAGGAGGGAGGTGGGGAGCACAGCGGGGGTGGGTGGGCTGGGATGGGAGTAAGAGACAAAAAACGACTTGGAAAATAATTAAATAAAAAAATTTTAAAAGATTTTTTGACTCAATATTTTCAACTAGAAAATCTTTACGAACCATGAAAGCAACTTCTCTCTATACTTTTATAAGTCCATTCTGCCAATCCATCAAAAAACCACTTCCTGTGTTAGGGCTTGTCACCTCAGTTTTATAATGACACCGAACCATGTTTTCTCTTCTCTGCTCATGTTTCCTTTTCTGACTGCAAACATGGGTTTTTGTATCTTCCAGGTTCAGGTATGGGACACAGCAGGTCAGGAACGCTTCCGCAAAAGCATGGTCGAGCATTATTACCGCAATGTGCATGCAGTGGTCTTTGTCTATGACGTCACCAAGATGACATCCTTCACCAACCTCAAAATGTGGATTCAAGAATGCAATGGGCATGCCGTGCCCCCGCTAGTCCCGAAAGTGCTTGTGGGCAACAAGTGTGACTTGAGGGAACAGATCCAGGTGCCCTCCAACTTAGCCCTGAAATTTGCTGATGCCCACAACATGCTCTTGTTTGAGACATCGGCCAAGGACCCCAAAGAGAGCCAGAACGTGGAGTCAATTTTCATGTGCCTGGCTTGCCGATTGAAGGCACAGAAATCCCTGCTCTATCGTGATACTGAGAGGCAGCAGGGGAAGGTGCAGAAACTGGAGTTCCCACAGGAAGCTAACAGTAAAACTCCCTGTCCCTGTTGAAACCAAATGGTGTACATACAAGCTCAATTATCACTAGAGTTTTTTCTTTCCTTTTTTTTTTCCGTGCCTGCATAATGCTGACACCTGCTTGTTTCCATACAAATTGATACTAAAATAAAATTTGTATAGATTATCACATGCCTTCATGCCTTGCTTTCCTCTAAGATATTTCTGATTGTGATGAGTAGAAGAGGCAGCTTACCTTACTAGAATATACCTGTGCCAAAGCATACTCCCTACCAGCCTCTTATGGCATCTGAAGATCTCATCATCTGAGTCAATCCTTTAGTGGGCAGAAACACCCAAAGCGGGTGGGATATAGGACAGATATGTTTTTCTGGAGTGCCAATGGAGGCAGCAGGATAGAGAAGACTTGAAAGATGTTGACTCATCAGTATTTCCTATATTCCCTGGATATCAAGAGGAGGCTGCTCTCCCCTTATTTCCCAAAGTTTAAAAACAAGAAGCATAAATTGCCCAACAGGCCCAGCTGCTTCCAAAGTAGCTACATCCTTCTCCCCATTTTCCACTAAGCACTCTCTGACACCAAAAGTGTTTTTGCCCCTTGCCCCTTTCTTGGAGAGGGCACGCTCAAGCTAAGAAATATCTATTATGCACCATGATCTTTGCTGTAGGCTATGGAGGAAACATAACAAGAGGAGGATTCATCCTCTACATTCAAAGACCTTTTGATCTAGTTGTGGAAACATTGTACATACTGAAACTACTTGGGAACAAAAATTAGATAGCTCTATCACCAAGTGCACAGCAGTGTTACGGGAATTGAGAGCATTGTGTACTATTAGGGAAGGTCACTGAAAAAGAATTGGACTTATTGTGTATGCTGAATAAAGTGTAAGGTTTGGATTGGTAAAGGTGTGGGGAGTGGGCAAAACTCAGGAGGCAGGAATGACTTTGGGGGTTGAACAGGAGGACAACTGAAGTTTGGCCCACTTGTAACAGGGTACAGACAAGAGAGGGTCCCCAAATAAGGATTTGGAATGGGGTCCAGAACTCAAGGTGTCCAGGAAATATTAAAAAGATATATAGGATGTCCTCCCCCCCCGCCACCAGTGTGGGTTGGGGGAAGGGACACATGGAGCAGGGCTATTAGGAGCTGTTTTTTGTTTTTAAAGATTTTATTTACTTTAGAGAGATGGGGAAGGAAGGGAGAAAGGGAGTGAAACATCACTGTGTGGTTGCCTCTAGTAGACCCCATACTGGGAACTGGCCTGCATCCCAGGCATGTGCCCTGACTGGGAATCAAACCAGTGATGTTTTGGTTCGCAGGCCTGTGCTCAATCCACTGAGCTATACCAGACAGGGCTGGGAGCTGTTTTGTACAGCAACAGTTTTGCAGCTAACCTCTGGCATAGTCATTTAAGGTATCTATAACCTTTAAGTGGTTTCATAGATATGTTAAATAGCTGTGGCCATGCCTTGAGCCAGGGGAATGGAAGTGACTTCCACCCTAGATGTAACTGGGAGGCAGCTCCCCCTGGTTACAGCGCCTGTGTGACAGCTTGGAGAAGATTGGCTTCATGACATGGAGCCACACCTGCCCAGACTCATGATGGCTGCCCAGTAAACTTGGAATTATACAGGAATGGTGGCAGGTGTAACTGATTGTAGGAGGAGTCAGAAATGGGGCTGCAGAGGAAGGTTGGCATGGGGATTTAAACCCAGACTTGGCAGCCATGTGAAGAGAGAACCACGCGGTTTTGACAGAGTGGGAACCCCCACAGCTTTGGTGAGAATGAGGACCATGTGGCTTTGGGGTGCTTGAAGCAGGAGAGACTTTGCATGGAAGAAAAGGGGTGAAAGGACTCTTGCTGGTGGGCCATGAGAAGGTGCCACATGGCTTTGGATTAGCTGAAGATTTTGGTGGTGACATAGCTGATGGTGCCAGGATCCTGAATCATGAACTTTTACTTCTTTTCCTGAAATACGGTACCCCAGACTGGGCAGAGGGAGAAGGAAGGACTGTGTATGTCTCTGGGTATCCTAAAAGACTTTAATATTTTAATGAAGACATTGGGTCACTACTTGAAGTCTGTATAGGTTTAAATAAGCATTCCCTTTCTTTGTCACAAATCTCTGGCATTGAGAGAAGTCTTTCCGCTGGCGGTGGACATAATGAACCTAGTGGGGAGTCCTTTCGATAATAGTACATAGTACACCCCCCTTGGGTCTGTTCTGTAACACAGAGACAGCCGAGAAGCCTTAGTGAGGAGCCCGGTTGAGGAGGCCCGCATATCACACAGGACAGTCTGTTGCCTTGAGCCAAATGGGAGCTTCTGGTGGCTCCTCCAGTAGGAGTCTTGTAGATATTTTTATATAGCTGATCCTAGGGATGTGAAAGTCCCTTATCCGATTGTTAAAGTAACTAAATGCTTAGGGGCTACAGTAGCCCCAAGTAGATCTCTTTACTTGGGGGATCTCCTTAGGGTGCCTTTGTTGTCAGAAGTCTGTGGAGGGAGGGTTTTAAGCAGACAGGCCCTAAGCACCTTTCTGTGGTAGGTGAATGCAGGTGTGCTGCCTGCCCTCTATCCCTGCCAGCAAAGAGTAATAATCCCAAATGCACTTCCCACCCAAATAGTCTTTCTGGCCCTTCCAAGTTGTCCCTGCAACCCCCTTCCTCCCACACTGGCTAATTCCCCACCCCCAGCCAGCCTCAGGCTCAGCCTAGCCCCCAGGCTGGTTCTCGTTTCTTGGCTTCTGCCTGGATCCCAGTCTTTGGAGTCTGCCTAGTATCCCAGTGAAGGCTGTTTTCTTTCTAGTTGTCCCCACCCAATGTCCATCCCCCTGAATCTCTCCCAAGGGGCAGAGAGCCTGTTGTCTGTTGGCGAACTGCCTGCTAAAACCCTGCAGCTATCTATGCTTTCCCTCATGGAGTACACCAAGGACTTGTCTAAGACTTTAGATACTGATTCCTTGCCCAGGACATTATCTACCGTTGTGGTGTCATTTTGTCCTTGTGACCTTGCTGCAGAGCTGGGCCACCTTTCAATAGCTGCATGTATATTCATGCATTGTAATGGGTGCATTTCAGTCTGGGTCTTGATCTGTCTTAGACAGGCAGGCCCCTTAGGGCTGTAATGGGCGCAAAATGACAGCATTCCAACTCCTCTAAAGATTACCTCTTCTAGACCTGGATTACCTCTGACACACTTTAACAAACTTTTACTGAACACCTACTATGTGCCACTGTTTTAAGCTCTAGGGATACATGGGTGAGCAAAATAAAATCTTGTTCTCATAAAGGAGACAGACACTAAGTCAGAAATGAGACACATAAATGAGATAATTTGAGAGAGAAATAAGCACTCTAAGGGCCATAAAACAGAGTGAATGAATAGAGAATAAGGGTAGTGCGGGGAGGGGAACATATTAACTAGAGTGGTCACAAAAGGCATCTCTGAAGAGATAATATTTAAATTGAGACCTGAATGAAGAAAAGCAACAAACTGTGAGGTCAGGGGTGAATAGAACCCCAAATAAAGGAAACAGTAAATGTCAAAGTCCTGAGGCAGAAGTAAGGCTGGTACATTTGAGGAATAGAAAGAAAAAATACTGCGGATGAGCAAGGAAGGGAGAGAATGTGGAAGATGAAGCAAAGAAGTAGGCAAGAGCAGGCCTCTTGGGGTGGGGTTTTATTTAAATGCAGTGGGAATCCATTGGAAGGTTTTAGCATCATCTAGACTCAGTAATCTTTGAAAAGATTCATCAGGTTTGCTGACCTGCAAGAGTGGAAAGCCTTCACTTCTCATAGCACCTCTGAGAGAAATAGATACTCCTTCCTGGGTGACTCCCGAGTGTGGGCTGCAGGGCCGCAACCTCCATGATAGCTGTTCCCCACCTTAGAAAATAGACTTGGAAAACTTCTCCCAGATGTTCACCTTTTGGTCCTATTTAAGGCTCTGATGGTTTTGCTGTGAAGAGCAGGCACCCACCAATCCTACCTGCCTCTATCCTCTGTGCCTCACCTGCTTGATCCTGTCCTTCCCTGAAATATGACATTACTGTCCCTCAGGTGCCTGGGGACAGCCAAGAAGTCCTGGGGCTCCCCACTGTGACCCCAGAAATCATGAGAATCTCTGGGCTGCACTCTGGGGCTCCCAGCCCTAGAACTTCCTGCTGGCACCATGGTGTTCAGGCCTCCCTCAGATTAAGCAAGAGGACTTGGAAATGGGCTGTACCCAGGGTACACCCAGAGGAAGGGGACTCCTGAGACCAGAAAACCATGACACCTTTGATGCCATGAGAGTGGTGAGAAGCAAGGGGAATTCAAGGGAAGCACAGTGCTTCCCGGCTCCTCATTCAGCCTCGCTATGTCTCTGGAACAATCCATGATGGCCAAAAGCTCTCTTCTACAGTTCCTCTGTACTTTCCAGACCTGCACACTTGAGTCTTCATTGGTGCTACAGAGACAGGATCAGGAGAAATAACTACCAGCATTTGTATGCCTATTATATGCCAGGCCCTGTGCTACAACATATTATATTCTTTCACTAGTTCATTTAATGCTCTTTCAACCCTTTTAGGTAGGGATAATAATGTCCACTTTACAGATAAGAAAATGGATGTCCTGATAGATTTAGTGGCTTCTCCAGGGTGATAAGTGGTAAAACAAGAGCTGTCTTACTTCAAGTCTAGGTTCTTTGTATAATATCATACCACCTTTCCAGTTAGTTCCCTAGCTACAGGACCCTTTAAGGGATTGCAGGTTGACCCCAGCCACTCCCCCTGACCCATGGGGTTTTGGCGAGCAGGCCATTCAATAACCGGGACTGGGATTTTCCTCCTTGAATGGGATGCCACTCACCAGATACCAGCAAGAAGCCCAAGTGGCTGCCAGAAGTGTCAGCTCTGGGCCAAAGGAGTACCTAAAATGTCCTTGCCTTGGACAACAGCTGGGAACCATACAGACAGCTGGACTCTGCTGCTCAGACTTAGGACTATATGATCTTGTCACTTACCCTCCCCAAAACTACCCCTCCACTAATACCTGTGCATGTGCTTAGGCCCTCAGATTCAGACTGAGGATTTGCTCTGGCCAAGTCCAGTGTAGCTGAGCACTCTCTTAGGA